AACTGATTAGTTGCCTCTTTTATGCACCCAGACCAGGGACTGAACCCACAACCTAGGTATGTGCCTTGACCAGGAATCAAACCAGCAACCTTCTGGTGTGTGAGACAATGCTCCAGCCAACTTATCCACCTGGCTGGGGTCAGCCAAGACAGTTTTAAGAGTGTTTGAGGGAGGAAGGAGAGAAGTTGTATACTTTGGTGGAGATGAGAACATGAAGAGATTTAGTGCTCTAAAATGGAACTCCACAGACCATGTTAGGAATGTCTCTATTATTTAGGGCAGTGATAGAGATCCTCCAACTGTTTCATACACACACACAAATCTACATGCATTTAGCTTCTGCTAAGAATAGAGAGGGTTTCAGTGACAGAACAATTGAGACCTGGTTGTGGATAATAAAAGTATTTAATGTAGGCCTCTACATATGCGATGTTAGGCTTGTTATGAAAAGTAATTGAAGTCAACCTTATTGTTTTAAACAACATACAGATAATTATTTTATTACTTTGATTTTAACTATAACAAATACACATTTTGAGCATAATATTTTCTCAGGGATGTATCTGAGGAGCTCATAGAAAAGAGAACATATTCGACTTATTCAATACTTACCTAAATTGAGTACCCACACTGGGTATTGAGTATCAGTCAGGCATTTGTGAGTGCACTGATAAGTACAATGTATAACTATAGTCTCCTGATGCTAGTTTTCATTCTTTATGGAAATGGTTCTCAAACTTTGGCAGGCATCAGAATTACTTAGAGAGTTTGTTAAAACACAGATCACTGGGCCCCATTCCCAGAGTTTCTGATTCAGATTTGGGGTAGAGACCAAAAGTCTGCATTTCTAACAGGTTTTCATGTGACACTGATGTCTCTGGTCTGGGGACTACTCTTTGAAAACCATAACTTATCTTGAACTTGATAGGGGAAAATGTAGGAAAAATTGTTAATGGCAAATTAAGATTTTCTAAAGTGGATAATTTCCTCTCATGACTTTAGTGATGGTTAGAATGTATTTTGTAGTCATAAAAATGGAAAAACAGCATAGAGAATGACAAAGCCCAATAAAAAAAGAATTTCCTTTTCATCACTATAGTCTGAGAATTTTTTTAGACCTTAAGGCAATTCTTTGGAAGAAGTCTGAACAGCACCAGGTCCTAAGTACTAAATAATATACCAAAATGCCGCTAATGGATTACCAAGTTGAAAGCCAAGGTGACATTTATTTTTTGCAAACAGCCCACCACTGCTTCTGATTATGATACAGATATTCATATATAAAGAATGAGATAAAAAAGAGATACTATGTACCTTTTAGATAGGTTTACTTTGAAAATATTGAAAGCATGATCATTGACATGGTTTAAACAGTTACAGCTTTGGTTTTGTCTGGCCAAATATTTTGATGAAGTTAGAATGTAGTCTAAAAGTCATGGATTGGCAAGAATAATGTGGTGTGTGTGGCCAGATTGGGAGTTTTATCCAATTTGGATAGAAGTCTATAGTGACTTTGAAGTTGGCATTAGAATTTTCTTTTCTAACTTCTTTCCTTATCATCTATATCTAGCCAGTCCCACAGTTCTCTCACATCTTCCCTGCAGCAGTAGCTCATATTCCCTCGCTTTGTACTTTTGTGTAGATCTTTACTTCCTCATGAAAATTCTCCAAGCTCATTTAAATGACTCCTCTTTGTCATAATTTGAAATGTTCCCCTATTATACTTTAGCGACCAATCCAAACCTTCACAACATAAACATTTCTCTATATATTGGCTTTTCCCATTATAAATATGTGAATCTTTCCCATTCAAAAACCTAACCATCTCTTGTTAAATACTGAAGTTGTTAACCATTGTTTTACAGTTGATATCATATCTTGCTTATTCTTTTTCTCAATAAATTTAAGAGGTATGATTGTGGCACATTCATGGATGGGGATAAATCCACCTGTTAAAATGATTGTTTAAATTCTTGACATGGAAAAGGGTTGAAGTGTTTTTGAAGAAAAAATATCTTTATACAGACTATTTATAGCATATTTGTTTCTTAGTTACAAGTTATCTATCTATCTATCTCTATCTTTCTATCACAATGATCAATTCTGGGTGATCGGATTGGACTAGTATATATTTTAGGATGTTTTATAGTAAATATGCATCATTAGCACAATAACAGTTATAAAGTGCATAATAAAATAAAAAGAAAATATGCTTACATCCGAAAGTGATTGTTACTAGGGAGTGAGATTTTGAATTTTTTTTCTGCTTTCGTATACTTCCAATTTGTTTACACTAGTACTAAATAGTATTTTAAATTTAGTATTAAGTAGCATTTAATAGCATCAAATATTTAGTAGTATTAAATATTACATTTAGTATTAGAAGGTATACAATTAATATTTCATTAAAATTACATTTAATTTATGTAAATATATGCCAAACCGTATGTAATTTCAATAATATCACTTTTCTGTGCAAAAACTTCAGAGTTTACTCCTTCCTAGTAACCAAAATTCAAACTTCTTAGCCTGGAAATCAAGCTCTCCATATCTTAGGACCCATAGGTTCTTGCCTTTCATTATCCAATGCTTCATTTAACCAAGACTTCAGTGTTCTTGGATGGAATCCCCACTCTTTTCTGCTTCATCATTTCCCTAGCTCTCCTTGACCTCCCCTTTCAGCATGTCCACACTCACCTTTCCTCCAAGACCTATGCCAAACGCTCTCTTCCATGGACCTGCTGCAGTCTAACTCACGCATCTAGTGTACTTAGCATTTTGTTTTTTCTTTATTTAAGGTTTGTTTACTTCTTCCTGTGTAGTATTTATACACATATATTAGCTCTTCAACTTTCTTTATTGCAAATATTTTTTGTGTGTATGGGGGAGGATGGGGACATAGTTAAACTAATAAAACTAGTTTAATTAGTAAAATCTATCCTCTCATAACATATGATCACTCATGGAGAGTAAAAGAGATCTTGGTATGAATCTTCCCTTGGCCACTTGCTGTCTGCAGGCATTTATACAAGGTCTCTAACCTCTCTGTGCCTCATTTCCTTGTTTGAAAATTTGAGGAAAATTGTATTTATTATTGCTAAGGATTCAGTGAGGCAATTATGTGAATAATACAGACTATCTGATACATTGAATACAGTGATATAGCTAAAAAGAGATTATTTTCCTACCAGGGATGTGAGCATTTGATAACTGAAGGGGAAGCTCTGCCAATTTTAGCACAGGGATTTCTTTGCTAACAAGTGAGATCTGGGGTTGCACATACCATTTCCTTTCTACTGCCAACATTTAGTCCTATAATCACATTTAGCTGCAAAGGATTCTGGTTAGTTAAGTCTCAGCTATGTGCTCTACTAAAACTGGGTGGGGGGAGTCTTATTACTAAAGGGGGAAGGGAAGATTGGGGCCAAACAGTATTCTTAATAAAATCAGGATTCTGATTCTGGAAGACTAACCCATACCCAGCTGGGTAGTGAAACCTCCTGATAGCTTCCCTCTGATCTCTAGCACAATCCTCTCTATAGATTTGCTACACATACCTTTTCCTTCAAACTGTTAAAACTTCTAAAGGACATGGAATCTGTCTATATGTCTTATTTAACTTTTAATGTGTTCCCTTATCTGCTTTACTCTCTCCTCTAGGTTAAATAAAGAAAAATCACCATGCAGGGGTATTCTATAAATTTCAGTAGTTTAAATATGACTCTAGAAAATGTGTATTGAAGTTTATAAACATGTTATATTTGTATCAAGGTGCTGATAGAAGTCTCTGGCTGGTAGAAAAAGCCAGACTCATCTTTTTAGCTACTTACTGAGTTCTTTGAAATTAGGATATTTATTCTGTTTTCATCATTGGGCAGCATTCAAAAGAGAAGTAGAGCAATTAGGATGGCCCCCACACTTTTGCCATTGGCTCTACAATTTTCTAGACGTAGTAGTTTTAGGAATTATGCAATGTCCTCTGCATAATTTTATTACATTTTCTTTATTTTTAATTGGATATTATTTTATTTTTTTCCTTTTTTTTTAATTTTTAATTTTGTATTTATTAGTTTGTTTTAGTTACAGATGTTTCTCATTTTTCCCCCATTTAAGTGAAACAAGCCAAGCAGAGAAAGACAAATATCACATGATCTCACTTATTTGTGGAATATAATGAACTAAACAAACTGCTGAACAAAATTAACCCAGAGACATAGAGGTGGGGTACAGACTGACAAGCCTCAGAGGAAGGGGGGTTTGTGGGGGAAGAGATACTACATTTCCTTTTGTGACAATGTGCTGTCGTCTGGCAGTTCTGAGCATCATGTAGGACACAATGGTAAATAAAGGAGATTTCTTAGATTTTTACATTTTTATTTTAAAACATAAAATTTTATAGTAATTAACACCTACTTTTAAACAGAATGATGCATTAATTAAATGCCTTGTCATAACTATTATAAGCTCTGTTAGAAAAATAGACATCTTAACAACTACAGTGTCAGCTCTTTAATAAATACATAAAACAGCAGTTAGTAGTCAATCAGAATTATATGAACAGCTTCATAGTATATTATATGAAATTGTCATATTCCCCCGTCTTCTGTGTCCTTTACGGAGATTTAATTTTATGTATAATTCAAAGCCAGAAATAATAATAATAAAAACTTGTTTAATGAGTGTTTGTTTCTTAGAACTATTTTATATTTAAATATTTTAATTTAAAAATACACTCTATGTTAAATTTTTTTTTTACAAAGGCAAGACTTGTTAAATGAAACAAATAAGGTTATATTACTGATCATTTAAAAACATTTCTAAATTTTCTTTGCAGAGGTTTAAAAATGAAGTAGCTGTTAAATGTAAAATAGCTTTAAAGTTATGTTAAATATACACAAAATGAATTTCTATATTAATATGCAAATTTATATTTTATAATTTAGAATTAAAATACTTTATATTCATTATTCTTAATAAAATTTATGTACCATATTTGTCATTGTATGTAATTCATATCAAAATCACATTTATTTGTGGTACAGTGTAAAAATTCTTTATACAAATCACATCTTCCATCCTTGGTGACTGCAGTTATTTTTCTTTTTTTTAATTCTTGAGTTAAATAATTTTAACTGAAGTAGGTTGTAGAGGTTGGAAACCTGATTAATAGCATTAGTTTACAAAGATATATTTTATGTAGGAAAGTATTTCAGGTAGATAAAAGAGTAGTGTTCTTACTCTCAGGTATTTTATTAACAGCTTCTTAGCTGAACAGTTGTTTCATATAATTAAATAATTTAAATATGCATTTTTATGACAGTCATTACATGGGCTTGAAGGTAAATTTATTAGAGCCAAAGAAAAAAAATCACTCAAAAAAACAGAAATGTTAAAGAATAAAAACAGAAGGACACAAAGAAAAAGGTTTTTTTTCCCTCTGACTATACTGATTGGTTGTATCATATTTCTCTCCTGTCACTGATGTAACACATACAAGATGCTGCAAAATCTAATTATGGTGGTTATCTGCAATATTCTTCCACTTAATTCTTTTTAACACCGAGATGATAATATAGATGATTATTCTTTACAAAGGAACAGAAAGATTAAAAAATAATTAACAAAACTGGGAGAAAGCCACTCATTCTTGTCAGTTAAGCTAGGGTTTGCAGAAATTATAGCCACTGGCATAAAAAGGAAGCTGAAAGAGCTTTTATAACCTAAAGGTCTGCAGAATGTGAGCTCATGATTAGACAGTTAGGATTCATGTTGAGTTGAATGTGATTCAGTTGTACTGAAAACTGGCTCATATGTTATCATAAATGAATTTTCAAATGTTTGTAAGAAAAGACTGTCCCTATACCCATGAACATTTAGTTAAAAATTAATTAGTGTACTATTTTTTCAAGCACAACCTTCAACACTGCATCTAACAAGCCACAATTGCAAGATACATCACAAATGTCTCAGAATCAGTGAAATATGAATATATATAGTCAGTTTCCCATAGTAAATTTCCCACAGAGGAATCATAAAAGAAAAGGGAAATGAAAGCTAGTTCTATATTTCTTTGAAAAGTAATATATTTCAATTTGCATCGCATGAAATGGAGTTCTCAAGGTCTATATTGATAAGGACAGTCATAAATTAAGTGTTAAGAGCAAAACAATACAATATGCACATGCTTGAACTCCCAAGTAGTTATATTTCACTTGAAACTTTTATTAAAATATATAGGCCTCAAATCCTTTAAAACTGAATCTCTAACAGTTGTGAAAATTTAAAATTATTAGTTTTTAATGGATCTATCTTTGTTCAGGTGCATAGATGCAAATGAGTTTTTAAATCAAGAGATGTTTGGAAATGAAGAACATTATACCATTACATTTGGTTATTTTTCACAATTAGGCTTATTGAGTTTGAAGTTTTAGTGCAATCCCTTAGGAAAACTGAGTGGAAAAAAAACAGGAGTAAGGAAAGTAAGTACAAGCCACTGAGTCTTATTTGCTATATCAGGTATTTGGAGGAATATAATTCTATGGAGAAAAATTTTCATAGTCTATCATAAAAATATTTCAGTGTCTCATGGATCCCTGTTGTCATAAGAATACTTTCAATAGAGATTAAGTATATATTAAGTATTTGAAATTTATTCTTTAGTGAAATGTTGCATCTGTTGCATGCGTTAATTTCAATTTTGATTTTTGAAAACTATGCCTGTAGAAAAAAAATCTATTTTGTTTAACTTAAGTTTTTAAAATCTTTATTAACCAAAGCTACTTTGAACATTTAGGACATAATCAGATTTTTACTGAATTTCTGAGTCTTGCAGAGAATATCTATGACTTATAAATATTAACAAATTTTGAAAAAGATATCAAATGCTTATAAATCCATGTACATTGCAGTGTATAGATACCCCCAGAGAAATCAAATGCATACAGTTATATTGTAGTGTTATGTATGGCACATTTCTATAGACTTTAGAGTGCAGAAATGCTATTGTACCAAAAAGTGTTCAAGTTCGTAACTTTGTTAACCATTTAAAATCTCATTATTTTTTGTGTAATATCAGTGAATCTCAAAGGCTCCCATGGTCATATTGAAAATAGGCTCTATTTACAAATACTATTTAATCTAAGAATACCCTGTTTTTCCTTACCTTTTAATTAATTCTAACTAGTCAAATATTAATTCTTTTCTCACAATCCATTATACAGGAACATATCAATTATTCAAGTAAAATATAAGCTCTAAAATCTTTAAGAATTAAATCTTTAAATAAAAAAAAAGCACATCACAAGCATGACTACAATTATCATCTAGCATTGAACTGCCTATCAGGAAGTTTGTCCCTTCCTACTATAACAGCCTCGGTTCATTATAAATTAGTGCAAACTAGTGAGAGTGTAAAAAGGTAAACCCTGGACTTTTAGGGTTTCATTTTATTTTGCTCTTTTGGATAGTTCATTCTACATGGAAATTTGTTTATGAACATTTTAATGTTCATTTTTAATTTTCAGCATTTTAATAAATGGATTTTTCCACTCTTTTGGGATGCTGTCAGCTATCCATTTATTTTCCTTTTAAAAAGGATGATATGTGTGACAGGCAGACTACAAAACATGATTTTTATGTTATTCTTGGTTTTATACAGGTGAGTCACAGTACTGAATTATATCAATGTCCCCAGTCTCTCATTTGGGGAAAAGAACTACAGTTCAACTTAAAGTTATAATTGCTTGGCTGTAGGGGACAGCGAATGGAGCTGCTGTGTTTGTTGGCTCCAAAACACCTATTCTATGTTTTAAAATGTTCTTTAGGGCAGAATATGGGGGTGGTTAGCCTTCACTGAAATGCAAATATCTAGCACTTTGATTAACTCAAGTGCTAGAAAACAGCAAATCTGGGATGTTAATTATAAGAAGACATTGTTGTCCTAGGCAAAGTTCTGTACTGCACACTGGACTATTGGACTTCTCGCCAATAAAATCAGACTAAGTCTGTAGGGCTATGGTAATTGTGAAGAAATTTACATTGGGGAAGAGAAAAGCTCATGGCTGCTGTATCAATCTCTCAGGTTGAGCACTGTACAACTCTAGGGGATGCTGTTCACACAGGCTAAGGCATGAATGGATTCCACACCTACAGTTAGTTCTTAGAAACTGATTGGCAGGAAAGATTGGAAGCTAGTCATGGTCAATTCATTTTGGATGACTCTTTTCTGCTTTGCTTTGAAATTTTTTCATGGTCATATACTTAAGACTTCAGTAAATCACATTTAAAAACACTTGTCAATTGTATATTGTATAGACTCAAGAGGTAGCATGATATTGTGCAATGAACACTAGCCTAGCAATAAGAAGATAGAAGTTGTCTTTGAATGCTGCCACTTAATCATGGAGATGGTTTTTGAGAAATCATTTAAACTTTTGTGAACCTTGATTCCCTAACTAAAATGATGAATTAGCTTATTTCTAAGATATTGTCTATCTTCCTCCAATTGCATACTTTTAGAATTCTGGCCAGTGGGGTTGAGGTGATAAAGGGAAAGAATGTCCATAGGCTTCATGAAAGGGCAAAAATAATATAGCTTAATATAGCTTTTCATTAGAAAATTGCTAATATCTACTTAGAGTAAATATCTGAGAAAGCTCAGTCAAAAGTGTGGCACTTTGTTTGAGGCAGAGTTTCTGAATGAATATCCTGTGAATTTCAACCTGAGGATTAGACAAATGAAGTGGTAAAATAGTCCATCCAGTTTACCAGGTAAGAAGATATAAAACTCCACATCTCCAAACAACAAAGCTGTTCAAATTTTGATGTTACTTTATAGTGTCCCTTATTAAACATTCAGCTTTTAAAACCAGTATTCTAATAAAGTGACATTGTATTATATGGCAGTAGTAACTTAGCACTTATTTAATCCAGTCATCAGTGACATATATAAACGTATCCTGTAAGAAACAAAAACCAAACTATAAAGGCAAAGAGGAGAGAATGTTCGATTTAGTATCCACACATGCATAAAACTACAGTTTCAAAAGCAATATCCCTCAAGATAAAGGTTTTATCTGTTTACCTCTTGAATGAGTGAAACACTAACCATTCATGTATCTAGCTGTTCTTGTGATCCACTGCCAAATGTTGAAGTGTTTGGCAACATTAGTATAACTGCCTTATTTTTTTTTCATTTGCATGTTCCATGCAGGGGTTACTGTTCCCTTGCAGTGACACAATGCCAAAACTATCTCAAAAGTATTGTGTCTCTCTGGGAAGCGTAGGAATGGCAGGTACCTGTAAAGTGTAATCAGTGCTCTTCAGATGATCTACATTCTATGCTGATCTAAATAAGTTATATATTACAGTAAAGTGCTACAATGACACTAGTCTCAAACAGTAGTAAGACACATTTTTCTCTGAAAAGGTCAGCAGCGATGTAAGTCACATGATGATGAGGATGCTTGTCAGTCTTCATTTGAGTGAAAACCAGCAACTAGCACGATCTAGAACAATTTGTCTCCTCCTGTGACTTCTAAAACTATAATCCTTAGGAGCAATTATTAAAAATTCAGTTTCCCATAAAGTATGTTTTATCTTTTTAGAAGTTGCACCTGAAAGTTTCATGAGCATTTAATTTGCTGATATCCATTTTTATTTCTTCAGGTTTCTCACGTCGGTAGGTTACAGCTCTTGTGCAAACACTTTGCAGAATCAACTTGTCCTTGATGGAGAAGAAATATTAGCATTATTAGGACCTAAATATTGGAAATAGACAATGACATACTGATAGTAATTCTTTTTCAGAATTCACTGACCTTTTTTGAGGCCGACACCCTGTAATCTGCTGAGGACTTTATTTTATTACTATTCCATTGTAATATCACCTGCCTAATGATAAGGACTTTAAGCAACCCAATCAAGAATGTAACTATGAAAATGATGAAAAATATCCTCAAGTAGCTTGGGCTAGAGAAGCAATCTGTAATGAAGCAAACAAATAAATGGGTTAAAAACGAATGAGTAAATCAAAGGATTCCAACAAGTAAATAGTGTTTACCATCTCAATTAGGATCAGAGATATTTGCTAATCTACATTTTGAAACTAGCGAACTACCCTTACTGTTGATTTAAAGAGAAAACTCTCAAATTTTTATTACCTATTTATTAAAATATTTTCACCATAAAACTCCCCTGTGTAGAATAGCCACAATTAAGGTATTTAATAAGAGTATTTCTTTGCAGCTCGATTCTTTAGTACTATTAACTGGAATATGTCCAAATTCATTAACCAAATATAACTGTATCCATGATAGAGAGAGGGACAGTTTTTGTGGTGTGTGCCCTTGATCACTAGTGGAACATAGGATTTAAAAAATTATTTAACAGCTCTACTCATTAGCTTATGTTTCTCTTGTTACACTGGCTCTTCATTTGTTGCACACCAGTAATGGAAAATAAAGTAAAAATCTGCAGAAGCTAAAATCAGTACTATAACAGATGAATAAATATTTCCTTTGAAATTGCAGTGTCACTTTTCATGATTATTACACATGGCTTCTCCAGGAAAAAGGCGTTTCCAATTCAGGACAATACACAAAATCTCTTTCCTCAATTTTTAATTATTTGTTTTTTTACTTGTCTGTTAACCAAAGCTATTTTGCATCTAAATATTCCACTTGTTTTTTTTTTTTTCCAGAATAAATAATTACTAGCTGGAAGAGGATATGCTGCATTAAGAGAAGGGGCATGCCTCTATTTCAGCACTAGACTTTTGGCAAACTCTATTTGGAAAGTGTGCAGACTCTGTGGCTGCCAGAGGTATTACCCAAATCTAAAAGGAACAGGGTTGCACAATATGACAGTATTCCACTGAACTTACCAGCTGTCCCCAACTCACAAAATTACCTCCTGGCCTAAAGAGGCATGTGTTTATTCCCTATTCTCCAGACTTTGGGGGCTTCACCTAAATGTCTGAAGGTCTCCCTAAGAGGCCCTTTCAGGAGGAGACCTGCCAAGACTTAGAAAAGTGATCACCCAGTCATGGGTGATTTGTGCCTGAATCCCCAGGGATGACCGAGCATACTCTTGAATAAGCCAAGAGCTCAGTAACAAGGGCAAGGGCTCCTCTCCAAGTGGGAATACAGAGCCCAGTTTTCTTTTGGTCAACGATAAGGTTCTTTAAAAGAAAGTTAAAGAGAAGCTGGTGGACTACTAAGTGGAATAGAAGCACCAAACAAAATGCTGGTTTTCCTTTGTTACAGGTCTTTCACACACACAGAATCCAAGATGCTCTATTCAAAGGTGATGACCTTGGAGTCTTTCACGGTGACCTTAATATTTGTGACATGCATGTTTTCCATCATGACAGACTGTTGGCTGACTTAGAACTATTCAGTCAGCTAAGATCCTTATAGGGCTTGATCCCACTTACTGGCTTCTTGCCTAGTAGAAGCTTAGCCAGAAAGACCAAAGAATACCCTTTAAGTGTGATTGAGTGGATAGATGATAGAGGTGGCTAACAAATGCCCTTTCCCTCTTCTTGCACAATAGTTGTAAAGGGGAGGGGACTCCCCTAGCTACCGATAGTTTTACAAATGTTTCTAATGGGTTAGGATAAAGGACATTTTCAGGACCCAAGTCTGTGTGCATTTTTAAATGTCATTTGGATAGCCAAACATTAAGGCTTGGCCATGACTATCTTCTTAGTTTAGGTCAAGTAAAGGGCTTTTTCTAAGGAACTTTAATGGAATACTTTGTGTAACCACACTTAGGTCACAGTAGGTTTGTTTACTTAACATAATAAATGACATGTTGACAGTAAGGGCTCCATTTATTAGAAAAGGCACTTGGCTTTCTGAAGTGATTGCTACAGCCCCAGCTGGAAGCACATGGGCTCTTTTCAGAGCCAAATTCATTAAGGGCTAACATCAGTATGGATGCAAAGGAAGAAGGGAGCAAAACTCTGGAGAAAGTTAATTATTTTGTGCACACTAAGAGCTGGAATTATTCTTACAGGTTGGAAGAGAGACTAGAAATAATAATAGCAGTAGGGATGTTTCAATGAAGATGTAATTTCAAGTTCATATGTAGCTTAACATTACACTTGAGCAAGGCGGGATACTGGCTTTTGGGTTCTAATGAAATGGTCTTTGAACACAGCTTTTACATGTTTCTATCATTTACATATCATCTTTCAGTTTACATAATTCTTTCAGGTTCACTGGCTCATTTGATTTTATACAACTCTGAGACTGGCATTATCATCTCCATTTTACAGATGACAAAACTGAGGCTCAGGGAACTAATATAAGAGGCTGATATCTCTTAGCTACTAGTGTCAATAGACATGTCTTAAGCCAAGGTCTTCAGACTAAAAGTTCTATACCCTTTCCATTGTGCCACCTTTATAATCATTCTCCCTAAATTTTATTTATATCAGAATGAAAAGTATCAGGAAGGAATGGCCTTTTTGAAGCAGATCATTGCTACTTAGCCTTTTTGAAGCAGATCATTGCTTCTTAGCCTTCACTTGAAACATGAAAATGTTGGTTTGATATGAGGAAGGTTATAACTGGAAGCAAGTTTGGGTTATGAAAAAAATAATTATGGCTCCATAGATGTTGTCTCTAAGAGTGACATGGACTCCACGTATGAAACTACTTGGCTCAGTGAGGCTCTCTAGAAAATGTTTGGTGTACTTCCATGGAGGTGCACAGCATCAGAATTTAGCTGGGTAGCTGAGATGGGAGATCTAACAAACAAATTCAGCCAAACATACTCAGCTGTTTTTACAGAGTATCATCTCTGGGAGATTGAAAACATTGAAGCATTAGTCCATTCTTTAGAATGGTTGATTATAGATCCTTTTGGAGAACATGATTAGATACTTTGTCAGTGCTTTAATTATTAAGCTTTGGTTTACCTGATGTTTGGTCCACATAATGCTGTTCTATGAAAGTACATGAGGATTTACACTGATCAAGTATAGCTTGAGACAGGTTGTGGGGGTGAAGGCATTGCACACAATTCCTGTAAGGAGAAACAAGTGAAAACTTATAATCTTTAAAAAGTTTGTAGTCTGTAGTATTTTCTACAAGAAATGAAATAAACTAGCATACTGCTTCAGGACAGCAGCCTTGTGAAACTGGGAAAGAAAGCTATGACACTTATTTGTAATCTTTGCTGAATGTAATACCATAGCAAAATCACTTTCTAACCACTTAAAATATTTTAATGTATAAAATCAAAATAATGATTTTTCTGCCTATGTTTTCTTCTAGGATTTGTATGGTTTTGAGTCCTACATTTAATTCATTTTGTGTTTATTTGTCTATATGGTGTGAGAAGGTAGTCAAGTTTTATTTATTTGCATGTATCTGTCCAATTTTCCCCACACCATTTATTGAATAGACTCTGTTTACCTCATGGTATGCTCTTGCCTCCTTTGTCACATATTAATTGACCATATAGGCATGGACTTATTTCTGGGCTCTCTATTCTGTTCCATTGCTCTATGTGTCTGTTTTTATGTCAGTACCATGCTATTTTGATTACTGTAGCCTTATAGTATAGTTTTAATAATTTGATATCATGTAGCATGATACCGCTAACTTTGTTCTTCTTTCTAAAGATTGCTGTGGCTATTTGAGGTCTTCTGTGGTTTTATATACATTTTTTTATTCTAGTTCTGTGAAAATCAGACTTTGGTATTTTGATAGGAATTGCATTGAATCTGTAGATTGCTTTGGGTAGTATGGATGTTTTAATGATGTTAATTCTTCCTATCCATGAACAAGGTATATACTTCCATTTATTTGTATCTTCTTCAGTGTCTTTCTTGAGCATCTTAGAATTTTCTGAGTATAAGCCTTTTACCTCCCTAGTTAAATTTATTCCTAGGTACTTTATTTTATTTTAATGCAGTTTTGAATAGGACTGTTTTCTTAGTTTTCCTTTCTGATGGTTCATTATTGATATAAAAATGCAATGGATTTCTGACCTAGAGGATATTATGCTAAGTGAAATAAATCAGTCAAGGAAAGACACATTCCATATGATTTCACTTATATGTGGAAACTAAAGAACAATAAATGAACAAACAAAATAGAAACAGACACATAGACACAGAGGACAGACTAATGGTTGCCAGATGGGAGGGGAATTGGGGGACTGGGTGAAAAAAGTGAAGGGATTAATATGTACAAATTGGTTGTTACAAGATAGTCATGAGGCCCTGGATGGTTTGGCTCAGCAGTTAGAGCATCAGCCCATGGACTGAAGGGTGGCTGGTTTGATTCCAGTCAAGGGCATGTACCTGGGTTGCAGGCTCGATCCCTGGTCAGCCCTGGTCGGGGTGGTATGGGAGGCAACCAATCAGTGTACCTCTCTCACATTGATGTTTCTCTCTCTCTTTCCCTCCCTCCCTTCCCTTCTCTCTAAAAAACCCAACAAAATCAATGGAAAAGTATCCTTGGGTGAAGATTAACAAAACAAACAAAATAGTAATGGGGATGTAAAATACAGCATAGGGAATATAGTCAATAATATTGTATTAACTATGTATGATGCCAGGTGGGTGCTGGAAATATTAGGAAATAAAGTGCTGGAACACTTTGTAACATATATGATTGTCTAACCACTATGCTGTACACCTGAAAACCAACACAAAGTAATATTGAATGTAAACTGTAATTGAAAAATAAAGTTTAAAAATGACTTCTATCTTAAAATCTATAGAAAATGAAGATATTTTCAATACATACACACACACACTAGCATAGATATTTTAGAAGATGAATATTAAGACACTTAGAAAAGTTTAGCAATGAATATACAGTTCAAATTTTGTTTGGTTTATTAGAATTAATTCCATCATTATCTTTAAGAACTGCATTTCTAAGATAAATACATAATTTCCTGTGCATTCTTTAAAAATTTTTACTTGAGCTACCAATCCAAGTAAGTAAAGGTCATAAAAATTTGAATAAAACTAATTGGAAGGCACAGTGATGTTTAGAGTAGTGTCTTTGAGCAGGACTCAGACTGTTATTGGAAAATTAATTATTGGCACAAAACAATAATGTTACCTTCATTTAACATATCACCTTTTATTTATCCCTCATTTATTTCCATAGTGCAATGGTTCTCAACCTTCCTAATGCCACGACCCTTTAATGCAGTTCCTCTTGTTGTGGTGATTCCCCAACCATAAAATTATCTTTGTTGCTACTTCATAACTGTAATTTTGCTACTGTTATGTCTTAGGCGACCCCTGTGAAAGGGTTGTTCGACCCACAAAGGGGTCGCAACCCACAGGTTGAGAACCACTGCTATAGTGCTTCATAACCACCATCAGTCAATAATGATAGCTAATATTTTTTCTATGATTACTTTGTACTAAGTATGAAGTTTTTTTTGGTTTTTACATGAATCATCTAATTTAATTCTTTCACAGAACTATAGCAAGGTATTATTACCCTCACTTTTGATATCAGGAATATTGAAAGAGAATATTCTCAGAAAATTCACAGAGAATTTCAACAACTTGCCCTAGATCAAACAGCTAATTAAGAGTAAGCTGGGATGCAAGCAGCCTCCAAATCATCACATTGTAAACTTTAAACTTGCATATGGTTATATGCCAATTATATATCAATAAAACTGCAAAAACACCAGTGAACCATTATGAATTCTGAATATTATTATAAAAAAACCAAACATACACATTCACAAAAGCTAAGGCAGTGAATGCCCAGGTAAATTATGATACTCCACAGCTATCTAGTGGCCAAAGATTGGAATCCAAGTCTTAAAATTCCCAAATCCCTCTTTCAGTTCTTTTTTATTATGATGATAACTTATTTGCAGAAGATTTAGCACTGAAGATTAAGGAAGGCAGAATAAAAAAGGACAAACAAAGCTACAGTGGAGGACTGTTTCATGTGTATCTGGCATCAGAGAACACATACCAGTTTTCACTGCAGGCTGTGGGACACGTGGGGCAGTGTTCACAGAAGCGGCCAATGCTCCTGGGATCGGTACACTCACACCTGCCACAGACACACGTGCCTCTTCCACTGCACACTTGGCCCTTTGGATTGATACAGTGCTGGGCTGATGTTGATGGGCACTGGCACCGATCTCCTTCCCAGCCACTGAAGCACTGGCATCTGCCCGCTTCACACTCTCCATGCCCTGAAACAAAAGACACCCCAGGACCTAAGCTATTGAAGTCACCTCTTTGTGAAGCATTTCCAAATGTGAATTCCCTTCTCATCTCCATGGAAACACAGTGACAGTGAAGTGAGTGGAAACGGCATCATTTGCTATTTGACATAAACAATGCGAGGATGCAGGAGTGTCTAATTTTCAAAGTTGCTCTAGTGTAGATAATCTGACGCTGACAGTTGTATTGTGCTGACAGTTGTGATGTCTGCCCTGCTGCAGTGGCTGCCCGACTACTTGAAGGTCACTGTACATTCAGTTTTAAATTAAAAACACAAATATAAAGAAGCTATGAAGGCTGAAGTAATGTTAATTGCCCAACTTGGAAACAGGGATACTTGATTAATAGCTTCTGTAATTTATTCTCTTTGTTTCTCCTCACTGCGAAGGGCCTGGGATCACTTTGAAAGTCTGTGAGGCACACCTTTCTAGTGCTGCAGCTCTGCTAGTGCCACGTTTAAAGATAAGCTCTCCAGGAGCCAAACTAATCCGATCACATCTTCAGGACATAATTTAGCAGGTTCACAGGGCCCATCAAAAGTATGCCGTGCACTATTATTATGGGGTAACGGGAGAAAGCAAGGCAGCAGATGTGTGTGTTTGTTAGGATTGGGGGCATTTATGTAGACAGATAAGTTGAGGAAAAACATTGGTTTTATGTAGTTAATGGATTTTAGACTGTAGAAGTATCCAAAATTAATGTTAGTGTGGACCAGAAATCTTCAAGAGGGGGTACCTTTTACAGGGTTATATAGTGTTTCTCAAGCTTATTTAGCCACAGACTTCTCCCTCCCTCCCTCCCTCCCTCCCTCCCTCCCTCCCTCCCTCCCTCCCTCCCTTCCTTCCTTCCTTCCTTCCTTCCTTCCTTCCTTCCTTCCTTCCTTCCTTCCTTCCTTCCTTCCTTCCTTTTCCCTCCTCCCTCCTTCCCTGTTCCTCCTTCCCTCCCTCCCTCTCTCCCTTCCTTCTTACCCTGCTTCCTGGCTTCCTTCTTCCCCCACTTCATTGCTGAGCACCTTACAAGGTAACTATTCCATAGAGTCTACTCTTGGATCAGCTCAGTTTGCTAAGAGTAAAACTAATGAGGTCCAGGCCAAACAAACTCCTGCCAGACCCTGTTCCCTGTAAGCAGGCTGCACAATTAATTGTAGGCAGCCGACCTGTGAACATGTGTTTTTATTCTCAGAGGAGACTGGTGAAGAAAATGCTTGTCAGCCTACAGTTTGCACTTACAATTTATACACAAATAATTCAAAGCAGATTCTCAACTGCCTGTGTCAGTAGTAGTATAGTCATATAGAAGAGTGCTAGTACATTAATTTTTGATATTTTACTATAAACAGAGATTGAGATTTTCAGTGTATTTCAAACTTCTTTGAGATATTGACAGCTGTAGGAAATTATCTCAGAATTCTTTCTCTTCCCTGTCCCTAACAGGATTAGCTCTAAAAAATTAGTAGATAAGTACTGGTTAGTTCTAAGTCATCTGTAATCCATTTTACCCATGATACCTGGTTGAGCTGAATAAATGTTTAAAATATAAAATATTTTGTGTATATAATAGGATAAAAAGGCAATTTGCCATCACATATTTGTGGGATATAGGGCAAATTTTTAGCTTACACAGAATAGAAAATTTATTTTGTATAGTTTTTTACTTTCCATATGCTTATGACAATGAAATATTTATCAATAATTTAATTAATATTTGTTTACAAAATTCAAATAGTAAAAAGATGTTTTGATAATAAGTGGATTTAGCACATTGTCACAGAAAATTAATTCATTTAAAAACAATGATTTGCATTAATTTTTAAATGCTGCAGATTTTCTGGACTCTAACCTCTAGATGGCAGTAAACTGAATTAGCCAAAAAAGTACTTGAGATGTTTTTGTTTTAAAATTTGGTCTGTGTGGGGCCTCTGAAACTAATCTTCTAGATTACTAATGAAACCAGTATTTTCTTTAAGAATGCTGTCTTTTGACAATCTTGTATCTAGTATTGTTCCAAAAATAAACTGGAGAGGTTTACATTACTACAAATTTCCAGTACCATCTATAATAATGCACTCAGAATTTTCCAGTGAATGAAAAGTGTATTTTTATAGTCCACTATTGTCTGAGCAAGCTGAAGGGAGTGACCACTTATGAGAATGAATCAGCTTCTTCTAGAAGAATACTCTGATTATAGAAAGCCTGTCAGACATCATCAGTGGTTTCCTTTTCTGATATATAGCTTCACAAGGTCAAAGCATTCCTGAGAATGACAATTAATTTTTGTTTTATATTTTAACTGCTTATTGCATAAATTACTTAAAATATAAATATTAGAATCCTGTGATATAAATCTGTCACCATGCCCTAATTTCATGGACTTTGAAACTTTATTGAATTCAGATTCAGGGTTAGTAATCATAAAGATGTGATTTAAAGATACTTTAACATATATGCTAGTTTAATAGTGACTAGTAAAAATACATGTATATATTTATATATTTTTACTCACCAGCACACAGATTTCCATGGTGATATGGACAAGAAAAGTCATCCTTTTCACAGTATTTTCCAAATACTTTTCCAAGCTTAATCTTGTGACACAAACATTTCCCACAAATACAGACTCCTCGACCGCTGCAAACAGGTTGATCCTTGTGTGACTTGCAACTCTCAGAAGGGAATTGATCTTCATCAAAATGACATTTATTCTCATCACACTGGAAACACTTGGAATCTAGAAAAGTTTCATCTACACACTTTCTTTTAGGTCCTCTGCTGTCATCACACTGACAGCTGCAGTTTCTGTGTATATGAATTTTAGTGGTTTCATTGAAACCAATAGGTTTGAGTATTGCATAGCTTTTTCCTCCTGTGACATCACATTTTTTCATTGTAACTGTTACATTGAAAAGAACCTAAATTTGGGGCAGGGGGAAGAAAATATATATATGTCTTGATTATTTGTATTACCAATATTATATCTGTTAATGATACTTTAAATCAATATTCCATCTTACAGAAATTAACGTTTATAAATTACACATGTACTCTTTCATATGTCGGTGTAACATCACTCTAATTTTATTTATCGCCTAATTAATGAGCTAGAGAGTTAAAGGATGCAATGACTGCTACTTGCTTATATTATACCATTAAGTGGATGGGAGTTCACGACTTTGTAATGTCTGTTCTGCTTTCAATGATTGATTTATGTCCTCAATTGCTTTCTTAACAAACTTAAGAGAGACTAGATCATTTTCCAGATTTGGTCCTTAAAATGGGGATTTACTGAATATTTGATACTAGGGATAGATCAAATAAATTAAAGGGCATCTGCTTTAAACCCTTGATATGGGGTGTTCAAATGAACAATTTTAATTTTTGTTCCTGTTTTCTAGGGGGTCAAGTAAAGTTTCAGAGTTAAATTTTAGTTTACACATGGTGTTAATGGAGGAAAACATGAGGCTTTCTCTGACTTAGTCAAGGAAAAAAATATCTAGGACTCCCATTCTCAGATCTTCAGATCTCAGTGCAAGGTCATACATTCGTTTCAGTGGGGACATTAGCCCAGAACTAAGAATCTGGGCTGGCAGGAATTGATTTCCTCGTGAAACTACAGTATTTCTTTTTCCTGCCAAATTTTTTTCTTTTTCTCTGTTTTTAAATTTTTGCATACAGTTTGTTTAATGTGTCTATTTATATTTGTTAACCCACCTTATGATATTTAGGTACTTTGGCAAATAAGGTTATATTTTTCCATGTTAGATTAAAATACGTGACAAATTAAAAATAATTTGTACTCGACTTTTTGTTTGGAATGGAGTTAGATAGATATAAATAACAATATAAATATATCTATAGATCTATCCCAAAAGAAAAAAATCCTGGCACAAAAAAAATAAAAAATACACACACACACACACACACACACACAATGAAAGACCTAAATTTAGGTTTATATATTATTATATATATGCATTAGAAATCAGAATCAGTCTTATAACATTAAAATCAATAATACTGCCCTGGCCAGTTTGGCTCAGCGGTTAGAGCGTCGGCCTGCGGTCCGGAGAGGCCCGGGTTCGGTTCCCGCTAAGGGCACGTACTTCTGTTGCAGTTTGTCCCCGGCCCTGGTTGGTCGTGCGGGTGGCAGCCACTTGATGTGTCCCTTCACGTCGATGTTTCTCTCTCTCTCTCCCTTCCTCTCTCTCCCTCCCACTCTATCTGTACAAAAAATGGAAAAGTATCCTCGGGTGAGGATAAAAAATAAATAAATAAAAAAATCAAATCAAATCAATAATACTGGTATTGTATTTGAAATATTTTTTGTCTTTAAGAATGTTAGGGATTAACAGATGTGGTCACTGCCAATATTAATAATAGAGCAAAATGTAGGGTTTATATAATTAAGAGGTCATATAACTTTTCCTGAGAGTCAAACTGTTTATACTGCTTGTTGAAAGTGAGGGGAATAAAGGGATATAGACAAAAAAAAAAAAGCAAAAAAAAAAAAGTTAGAAGTAGGAAAAACACTCTGCCAAAACTGATTTTGAAGGAAAGAACTACTTCTAAAAAAGGTAACCCTTTCTCAGAAACTAACTTAGTGTTATCTTTTGTTAGCACAAAATTATATATACATTTAATTGAAATCAAATATATATTTTGTAAATTGGTATATAATGTTTTTCGAAGAATATTCAAGGAGTGATGGTGGGGGAGCCTACAGAACTCGAAACCAGCAATAATTAATTTCAAATATGTAACTTGTTGGAACAACTATACTACTTACAGATTTTGCATTTACCAAGAGGAGAAAATATATTCAAACTGAAAAGAAAGAAAGATGTTCCTAATCAAATCTTAGGCTTTTAGGACCTTTTTATCTCTTTGAATAATTCATGTTTTGTTTTGTTTTTTCCTATATCATAACGTTAAAATGATAACATAATACAGCCTTAGAAATGGAAGCAAAAGGGATTATAAATCTAGTTCAAGGGACAACTGATGCCTCAAGAAGTAAATGACTCACTGAAAATCAATTCATCCACAAAGAATTTCCTTTAAAAGCAGGTTTCTGTGTGTTTACTCTCTATTGTGCTCGTCCCAGGAGAATCCCTATCTCCCCTGGTCCTGTTTCCTGATGCTACTATAATCTGGGACTCTCTTGTCCACATTTCATCCTTTTTTAGTTAAATAGTGACACTTCATTTTATTGTTCTTAACAAATTTCCCTACCCTCCTAGATCATTATGAGTGTGCTGGAACAATCATAAAGTGCAAGATTTTGGAATTCTTAGTCTTTATTAACTACTACATCAATCCCGTTTTTTTTCTGTGGCTTATTCACCTTTAATTTCACATTTGCTCTGAGAATTTTCAGATTTGAAACCAAAAAGTTATCATTATCATCATAAGTACAGACACTACTTACTTGAGTAGGTGTGATTTCCTAATATATAATGGCTGTGACACCTAAGTTTAAAGATATGATCATCGAATAAGTATTTAATATAGTATATACATATTTATTTTAACTTGAGAGTTTGAGAGAACAATGAAGTTAAAACAAGTAGGAACTTTGCAAAGAGACAGTGAAAATTTCTTTGAACTCTAAATAAGATCCTTCGAGCCAGCAGTAGTATGTAAAGGTTCTCGGAATGGTTTGCTTTTTTGTGAGCAAGTATGCCAAACACCAGAGTTTACTTGAAATGGGAAAAATGCACACCCACATACTTCATCATTGCTCGTCACATTTCTGCATCCTTCTGTGCCTGGCCTTCTGGTCCCATCCGGACATATGGCGGTAATGTTTAAATAGATGCCTTTTACCTGGTTTTCCACCTGAACTTTTACTTCTGAAATAAGTTTCTGCAGAGATATCATTTAAAAAAAAATTTATACCATAGCAGTATAAAAAATAATAAACTTTTATTAAATCATTCTAGATTTAACAAAAAGATTCTGTCTCTGTAAAAGGATGAATTAAAACAGCATTTCCACATAATGACCCAATTATATTTGAAATCCGTAAGAAATACTGAAGGGTTAGACTATCTGTGTTTAATTGCTATATTTTTTACATATTTTCATGCATTTCTTGCATTTTGACCACTTTAAAGATAAATCTCACTCAGCCTGTATTATAAAAATGATTTGAATCCAATAATATTTATATTCTGTGATAAAATTTGAATAAAACATTGAGAACACATCACCAAAGAGGGTAAATCTTGACAATTTAAAATCTGAAACATGCATCTGACATTTACAGCTGTTAAAGAAACATTTCAGTTTCAAATACTTTAGACTATCATGAAAGCTAAAATGCCTTACTGATGTGGAATTGAAAGGAAATTTTTGAAGGTCATTTCTCTACTATAAGCATAAGAATTGCCTTCTAGATATGGTCCTATAAATTCTCCATGAATGGCCTAGAATTTTTTGCCAAGTTCCTGGGGCTTACTGTGTCAATCAAATCGGTTCCAATTCTTAATACTGAAATAGATCCCCTTACTGAGCAGAAAACCATTCACTCATTTATGCAATCTTTCAGAAACCATTTAAGTAATGGCTATCATGTATCGAGCACATACTAATTTCTTCCATTACAATCTCTGAATTCCAAAAATTCTAGCTACATTAAATATATACTGTAGATCTGTGTGTATTTCATTTTATAAAACTAATTACAATATCTTGTAATTCTTTACTTGAGTAATTTTTCTTCTTCAATTGTATAATCAATAAAGAGATATGTGCTAATTAATCATTATGAAATGATGGTAGTAACTCTTTCACACAAGATACTTCCTCAAATTAGCAAATTTTATTTGGATTAGGTAAGACTGTGTCAGTCACATTTTTTATTTCCCAAAGAGCTCATACATTGTAATCACTGAATTGAACGATTTTGGCAAACCAACAGAAACTTCTAATGGTATACAAATGGCGTTGACATGGTGAGGGTTTGACAGATCAGAAGGAAATTCCTAATATTCTGAGTGTTCTCTGAAATTCTGCTTCTCTTAAAACCTTGAGCTACTTATACCAATGTTTTTCAAGCTGGGTGTGAAGACAAATGTCTAAAATGTTGACCAGTTTTGGCATTTAGAAGTTACGCTCCAGCCCTAGCTGCTTTGGCTCAGCGGTTAGAGCGTCCGGAGAGACCCGGGTTCGGTTCCTGCTAAGGGCACGTACCTCGGTTGTGGTTTGTCCCCAGGGTAATGTGGGTGGCAACCGCTCAATGTGTCCCTTTCGTGTTGATGTTTCGCACTCTCTCTCTCCCTCCCACTCTATCTGAACAAAATATCAAAAATTGTCCTCGGGTGAGGATATAAAAAAAAGTTACACTCCAGACACAGTCTTAAGCATCACGTTTACTATCTAAAACGTACAGAGGTAGAATCTATTTTTTTAAATAATGTATCATTCTTTTTTATTCAAAATAATTTCCCTTAATTTTAGCTAAATTACTATTGTTTTTAGAGTTGTGATTTTTATATAATTTTAATTCTAATAACAGTGCTGATGTAAAGGAGAAAAAATAAAATGTAATCACATTCACCGTGTACTCAATTTGTATGTACTTTTATAAAATTCTTAAAAAGGAAGTGCAAAAAATGAAAAGTTAGAATGAAAATATTTTTGTTCTTTTTTCCATCAATGAATTGTGAATTGTTTCTGTTGGACTGTGAACAAAATGAAATTTTAGAAGAATTTTGAAACTATACACATATGTAAAATAATAACAGAATCCCAACTTAAGGAGATTAGTTAGCCAGAGTAAGTTTTTGTTGGATTTACTAGTATTTTTCCATTGTTTAAGGTTAATCAGAAGTGCAGTGAGCTAAGGCTTCACATACCTATCCTAGGCAAAGAAGGAACATAAAACCAAATGCTGCTGTTTCCTTTTCATTGGTGCAGTCTGACACTCAGGCAAGTCTGCCAATTTAATTTTTTTTTTCTTTATTGATTTTAGAGAGAGAGGAAGGGAGAGGGAGAGAGAGATAGAAACATCTATGAGAGAGAACATTAACTGGCTGCCTCCTGCATGCCCTCCCACCCCTCGCCCCGGGGACTGGGCCCACAACCTGGGCATGTGCCCTGACTGGAAATCAAACCAGAGACCTCTTGGTGCATGGGTTGACGCTCAGCCACTGAGCCACACCAACTGGGTAAGTCTGCCAATTTATATTCCTTGTTTGGGGTAATAAATAGGTTCATACTATAAAAACTAGGGCGGCTTCTAATACTGTGAGCTCCTCCCTTATTTTGATTATTCCTGGGAACTAACTATGGATGGGCATGAATTGTACACATGGTTGATTTTCTTTGAAAGATGATCCCCGCCCTGGCCGGTTTGGCTCAGCGGTTAGAGCGTCGGCCTGCAGTCCGGAGAGACCCGGGTTCAGTTCCCACTAAGGGCACGTACTTCGGTTGCCGTTTGTCCCTGGCCCTGGTTGGTCGTGCGGGTGGCAGCCACTCGATGTGTCCCTTCACGTCGATGTCTCTCTCTCTCTCTCTCTCTCTCTTCCTCTCTCTCCCTCCCACTCTATCTGTACAAAAAATGGAAAAATATCCTCGGGTGAGGATAAAAAAAAAAGATGATCCCCTAGTACTAATGTTCTTTTATAACAGTGAGAAAGAAATTTAATTAAAAATGCACTTCCTGCCCTGGCCGGTTTGGCGGTTAGAGCGTCGGCCTGCGGTACAGAGAGACCGGGTTCGGTTCCCGCTAAGGGCACGTACCTCGGTTGCAGTTTGTCCCCGGCCCTGGTTGGTCGTGCGGGTGGCAGCCACTCGATGTGTCCCTTCACATCGATGTTTCTCTCTCTCCCTTCCTCTCTCTCCCTCCCGCTCTGTCTGAACATAAAATGCAAAAATGTCCTCGGGTGAGGATAAAAAAAAAAAAAAAAAAAAATGCACTTCCTACTTCATTCAACACATTTGCAGACATACAACTTTTCTGCTAAAACACATATCACAAGATTAAATTTCCTTTTAAAAAGAGGAAGTTTAAACAAGTCCTTCATTTTCTATCCTGTGTCTACTTTCTATCTTTCCCTTTTGTACCCGAGTTGAAGGCAGATGTTGTACAGAGAAAATGAGAAGAGAAACCTGAGATTTCTTACAATGCTTGGGCAACCATTTCCACTATTCAACTCTACTGTGTCAGAAATGGAATCAGGGAATTTGGGAAAGTGAAACTTTATTAATGGTTTATTAATTCAAGATAGAATAAAGCACATCTTTGGACACTATATAAATTCAAACAACAACAACAAAATACAAAGCAGGTATTATCACCTGGGCCTGAAGTTAAGGAAGACCTGGGTTCTGTTCATTCTTCTGCTTGTTAGTTGTTTGACATTTGGTTAATTTGCTTAGATTCTTTGGGTCTACAAATACACAGTGGGAATACTAACCCCTGCCATATTGGTCAGTTGTGCAGATTAAATGAGTTCATATATGGAAAGTAACTGGTTCTTAGTGGAATTAAAGTAACAGTCACTATTATTACAGCATCCTAACAGAAAATTTGTTCCAGGAATGACCTAGGTTGAAAGAGCAGATGTTTCTTTAAATCTTAGCATTACACAACTGTCAGTAAAATAGTATATCTCTTAAGGTGATTCTTTTGCTCAAACTAGTTTTATAAAACTGCTAAAATAACTGAATGAACAATCAAGTCATTGATTCAGGAATCTCTAACAGATTCCTTTTAGTAATCTCTGTATCCTAAATACTTCATTTTACCTAATAAGTTGCCAATTTAAATAACAGTATGGATTTCTTACTTTATGACAGAAAATTGTGAACATTCTTGGTAATAAAGTATATTTTATTGCTGCAATTCAGTGATTCCCTGAATATTTAATTTGGAAGAAAAATTTCATTGACTATTTAATTTGGAAGAAAACCTGGGTTTACTATCTGTGAGACACAATGAGGCACAGAGGCTGAAGTGACTTTCCCCCAAAGTTACACGGCTTGTCAGTGGTAGAACCAGGGATGAATTAGGTTTCTAATTCCAAATGTAATGTTCATTCCACCACTCCTTTCAAGATGATACAGTTCTAGTTTGTACTTTGTCACCAAAATTCAGGTTGAAAGTTTATTTTAAAAATTATGTGGAATATATGTGTACATACCTGATAGGCTTCTACTACCAAATTATTGAGGTTTGCAGCCTTGGATTCTATTTCACCAGCAATGGTACCAGGCAAGAGGGGTAGAAGGTCCTAGAAAATATACCGATAACATTTATGAATGACAATCATATACCATGGTTTAGCAATCAATAAATAATAAAAATTCTTATAGTTACCAATGGAAGATGACATTACATAAATAATAAATATAAGAGAAAAGAAAAATGTACACAACCAACTAGAGCAGCCAAAACATATACACCTAAAATGGTAGTTTATATGTGTATGTGCAAGAGTGTGTGTGCATGCACAAATTACATGCTGACCTAAAAACGCAATCAAAGTTCAAACCAGCATTTCTCAAAGTATCTTCCAAGGAATATAGTCTAAAGAGATTTTAAACATGAAAGGGTTCTAAGGGCAGATAAGTTTGCCAAGTTCTACACATGGTTTCTTCTACTCAGAGACTCAAAATGTACACTTGAAAATTAAAAGTTCAGAGAAGTTCCTGCAATTCAGAAATAATTTAGCATTATTTGGTGCATCATTTCCCAACATGTTTTAATTACAAAACTCTTTTCTCATGTAACATATATAAACATGTTTCAGAGTGACTGTTCTATGGAATGAACTTTATTTATCACATGTTGGCCCAGACTGGAGAAAAAAATCATAATCACAAGTAGAAGCTTCATGGAGTAGGTGTTCTTGACGAGTGTTCTTAATTACTGAATAATTATGGAGAAGACTCTAGGTATTCCTAGTGAGAAAAACAATAAGCTAAAGCTTAAAGGTTTATGAGTTATAGATGAAATAAGAACAGAGAAGAAACCAGTCTGATGGAAGTGAAGGATGCATAACTAACTTGTAAGGAATTAGATTATGAGAAGTCTTGAAATCCATTTATATACTCATTTTTATCATTCACAATTATCATTAAGTTCCTGCTATATGTCAGCCACTACTTAGACACTAACAACTTGGTATCTCAGGTAATAGAGAAATACATTACCTATGGTTTAAAAACTTTATAAAACTTTTGTTGAGCACCTATAGGTTACTATATTGGAGATGCTAAATTGCTAGGCCACTTACTTTCCATTCTTAAGGGTCCCTGGTGTATATATATGACAATTTCACAAAACAATGTACACACAAAGCAATAGAAAGAATGCATGGATCATAATGAGAGGGCTACCCAGCACGCATTTGAGAGCTGGGGAAAGTTGTTGGGGACTGCTTTCTGGAGGAGGTGACACATGAGCTGTGTCTTAAAGGATGAGTAAGAGTTAATCCAAGTAACGAGAGAGAAGGGCTTCCAGGCATGGTGCGCACATAGCAAGAACTTTGGCACAAAGGAGAGAAAGAGCCTGCTGTATGGTGTGCATGGGAGAATTAGAAGCATGTAAGGCAAAGAATAATGGGGGATGAGTCCAGAAAGGCAAGCAGGGCCAGATGGTCTCTTATGCTACATCACAAACTTGATCCTCTAAATCAGAGGGAACCCTGGGAACATTTTACTTTAGGGAGCACTCTGCTCACACTTATGATTTAAATAGATCATCCTGCCGCCAGGTAGATGGTGGATTTGGGAGACATTTTAAGAAGCTGTTACTACTCAGACGAAGGTGATTGATAGAAATGTCTCTGGGCAGTGAAAGTAGGTGACTGTAAGCATATACATAGGACACATAGCACAGTTTGTCAGCTTTTCAGAACCTGTTGATTCTTACTTTGCACACAATGCAATTAATAATAAACCTGCCTGGTTTTATGGTTTATAAGTTAATGGAAATTTGTTTTTTAACAGAGCAGGAAGAATCTTCTAGAGCCAATAACACCAATAAGAGATAATAGCAGAGAAAGAGGAGGCAAAAGCAATAAAACAGCATAAGGAATATAGTCAATAACATTTAATAAGTAAATATAGTGCCAGATGTGTAGTAGTCTTATCAGGCTGATCACACATCACTATATTGTACACCTGAAACTAATATAATATTGCATGTTAATTCTAACTGAAAAAAAGTAACCCCTCCCCCCAAAAAAGCTACAAAATAATCTGAAATTCAACTATTAAGCTTAGAGGTTAAGAACATAGGATTTAGAGTCTTTGGAAAATTTGGGCAATTATATAACCTCTGTAAATGTGTTTCTTCATCTTTAAAATTGGGCATATTATTTATACTACCCTTATTGTTAGGAGTTAAGAGTATTAAATGAGTTAATAAACTCACTGTCTGACAATAGTTAAGTATTCAATGAGTGGAAGTTGTTACTATTATTAATAAAGTGGTTTGGGCATTTGGTTTGGGCAAGAACCCTACTTCCATGGATGTTAATGGTTGTTACACTAAAAGCGGGCTTCGTGGTATGTACATTTGGAAAAACAGTGGATTAACATTTCACTATAGATTTCGAAGGAAAAAAGTGGTATGATTAAAGTAGTACTTTCAGATGGTCAGTATGGTAGCCAAGGTATTAGGGAAGCCGGTGGAGGGAAGACCAGCTGTGGACGAATGGAAATTGGTTCAGGTATTTGTTGAAGACAAATGAAAATGTAGTTTCTCTGAAGTATTAAAAAAATAAGTGAAGGGCATCAAGAGTACAGAAGAGCAAAGATGACAAAGGAGATGAAAAGAGCCAAGAACAGACATGTGCAATGAAAATCAAGGTATCACAGCATCATGGAAATTAAGGAAAAAAGAGTTTCTCAGATGAAAGAACCTAACATTGCAAAAGGAAAGCAATAGTAGTGTCACATAGTTGTATGTGAGTGGGGTGGGAGGTGGTCCCATGGTGCCTCCAGAGTGATAGAGCTGCCAGATGCCTATTCTGCTTGTGGGTCTCTCCTAGCCTGAAGGATTCTGGACAAAACAATATTATTCTTATGTAGGAAGGCTTTGACTGGCCAGGCACTTCCATGGCTCCTCTTATTCCTTTGTTGGATGACCTTGACCAAATCTAGGTATGCTAGTGCTATTGACAATTAGCTGATATTCCGCAACCTAATCTATCATAAGGATATATCCATTGACTAGAATATAAGGACTCTGTAAAAAGGTGTAGTTGGAGTGTGAACTATTTTTTACCTCGTAAAAGTCCTTTCTATTATTGTCACAGTCAATACTTAGTGTCCACACTTGGTTCTAGGTGCTATAGATATAATTTATACTTAAACGCTAACTTAAGACACTGTGTAGTATACACTGGTTAATACAGTATTCAATTTAGATTGTACAAAGTATAAAACCTCCATAATTCTTACCTGGGGTTCTCGGAGTATTTTAGTTCAACTACCAAGGCAAACATTTTACATTTTATATTTGGAAATGAACATACCTTATACCAATGAAACTGTTTTCCTTGAACTGCAAAGATGACGTTAATGTTGTTGTCTATTAACTTCTCTGAGAGTTGGCCTAGTGAGGGATGTTCCTATTGATGGACAATGAAATAAAGAAGGCAGTGACATTTAGTAGCTTGACCCCTACACATATCCAAACATTTCTTTTTTTTTTTTTATCCTCACCCGAGGAAATTTTTCCATTTTTGTTCAGGTAGAGTGGGAGGAAGAGAGAGAGAGAAACATCGATGTGAAAGGGACGCATCGAGTGGTTACCACCCACATGACCCAACCAGGGCTGGGGACAAACTGCAACTGAGGTACGTGCCCTTAGCAAGAACTGAACCTGGGTCTCTCTGGACTGCAGGCCGATGCTCTAACCACTGAGCCAAACAGGCCAGGGTTTCAAACATTTCTTTTGAGAGGGAAACCATATGACTGACATAAAACCGTATTTTGTTGGGAAGGGTTATGGTTTTACTAAAGACATTTAAATTATTATTAAAAAAAATAAAATTAACACCAATGTATTAAGGATATTTTATAGATAAAAGCTCCATAAAAACATATAGCTCAGAAAAATGAAAAGGGATGAATTCAACATAGTACCAGGAGTGTTTGGTAACTCTTTAGGTTTGCATTGGGATCAAAATGATAGAACTAAAAGGTAATTTACTATTTAGATACAAATACATTAGTGACAATCACATTCTAAGGCAAAATTCGGTAAAAAGTGTTGAAATGTAAATATGTGCATATACATACACACATACATATATGTATTTGATATATAACATGATATAGTACAAACTCTGTTTAAAAGCTGAAAACCCTGTACTCAAATCCCAAGTTGTTGCTTTATGATAAAAATTCTGAGATAGGTCCATTCTCTGTAACATGTGAATGGTATCTGCTCCATGCCTGCTGGCAAGATGATAAAGGTAACAATAGTGTGCAAACTATTTAGTGCAGTTTCTTGCATAGACTAGGTACTCAAAACTAATATCAATGATCATGATTTTTACTTCCCACAGCTTATACAAGGTATAATAGGTTACAGATCTCTCAGCTTATTATTATTCTAAACTTTTTGTCATGTATATATTATAAATCTGTTTTACTTGATAAATAAAACTTATGTAGAGCCAACTGTGACATTCTTTGCGGTAATGAGAAAGCGTGGGATGAGTAGAAGGGGAATATAATTTAGTTTAGTAAATATGAGAAATCTGACAACTTGGAAGTTGCTATATCTAAAGTTATATAGTTAGAGAGTGTCTTTGCTATTTCTTCTTTCTATAAATGCCTTCCAGAAATTAAACTAATAATCTCAAATAACAACTTCATACTAAACACCTCTCAGAGAGGTGATGTCCAACTTCACCTACAGTGGTCTGCACCTGTCCATTGGTGCCCAGTTACATTAGCCAAGGATCATGTGAATGAGCCTAATTAGTATCATGTGATTCAAGTTCAAATTACTATGTAGTTTTTATTCCCCCTTCCACCCTCCAAAGCTAATTGTGTTTTCTTAAGGGAAACTTGCTAAACCATTTTGGTTAACATTTCTGTATTTTGGCAAATATGTGAACTTAGTAAAGGAGCTAATTTTATTTTATTTTAATTTTTTTTCTTTATCGATTTTTAGAGAGAGGAAGGGAGAGGGTGAGAGAGATTGAAATACTGATGAGAGAGAACATTGATTGGCTGCCTCCTGCATGCCCCCCACTGGGGATTGGGCCCAAACCCTGGTTATGTGCCCTGACCAGGAATTGAACCAGTGACCTCTTGGTACATGGGTCAGTGCTCAACCACTGAGCTACATTGGCTGGTCTAGGAGCTAATTTTATTAGTTTCATTTATAATCTAAGTTCTTTGACCCACATATTAAATTTATATACCTAGACATAGGAGATAGCCTTGTGCTTAAAAATATTATCACTGCCCTGGCCCAGTGGCTCAGTTGGTTGCAGGGTCATCCTGTACACCGAAAGGTTGCTGGTTTGATTCCTGGTCAGGGCACATACCTAGGTTGTGGGTTTGACCCCTGGCTGAGGTGTGTATGGGACGCAGACAATTTATGTTTCTCTCTCACATCAATGTTCCTCTCTCTTTTTCTCTCCCCTTCCCTTCCTTTTTCTCTAACAGAGAAAAAGAAAAAATCAATAAACATATCCTCAGGTGAGGACTAAAAATAAAAATACTGTTACTAACATGAGCAACTGCTAACATCTGAATACTTGTGTTCCCCTCCCCAAATTCATGCATGGAGTCCTAACCCCCAGGGTGATGGCATTAGGAAGTTGGCCTTTGGGAGATGATTAGGCCACGAAAGTGGAACCCTGAATGGCTTAGCTCCCTTATGAAAGAGGGCCAGTGGGAAGGCTCCCTCACTCCTTCCACCGTGTGAGGTCACAGCTAGGAAATGTTATCTATGAAACAAAAAGTAGGCTTTCACTAGACCCTGCATCTGCCAGTGCCTTGTTTCTGGACTACCCACCCTCTAGAACTGTAAGGAATACATTCCTGTTGTTTATAAGCCACCCAGTTTATGGCTTATTTATTATAGCAGCCCAGAAGGACTATGATAATAACCATAACAAATATGCTTTTATTTTTATATAACCTATAATTGCTGTGGTAGAAGCAAATCAAATTTTCATGAACTGCATTTAAATGTGATATGAAACCAATTTATGAAGACGTTTGAAAAGTATTACCACATGGATTTCCATAAGAAAATTTTTGCCCAGAGCAATTCTTACAATGTAATTTTAAAGTAATAGAAAAATAATTTCCCAAATATAAATTCTTATTCCTTATTCCTAATAATATGTATACTCTTAAAATAGATTTATGAGAGTGTGCATAATGCTAGAAGATTAAAGAGAACAAGTAAAGGAAGGGTAAATCTAGTGGTATTGGGAGTATTTTTTAATGGCAACACCTACTTTTTTAATACATTTTTGCTTTGACCAAAAAAAAAACAAAAAAAACACACACACACAATTTCCCAAGCATTCCCCCCTCTTAACTTTAAAAACCATTCATATTTTAAGAAAAATTTAATCCATATGTTTTTAATCAGTTTATACTTAACTCATATAAAATCAGTATTTAAGGAACCGTCCAAGATGTAAGAAGCCTTCTTAATCTCTTTCCCGGTTCAGAAACAGGAATTCACATTGACCAAATGCACATACAATTTAAATCCAGAAAGTTCTAGTTTAGTCAGAAGCTCATTTAAAGAAAAAGGTCAGTTGGATTTTTAAGCTTAAAAGAACACTTTTTTATTTTTAGCCCTAGAAAGAAATTGTTTTAAAATTCCAAGTACCTTGACACAGATTTGTTAAAATTACAAATGTTTAACAGATGTTTAAATAAACCACTGTTGACAGGAGAGCTGTGGATTAATGGCCCTTGTTGAGACCCTTCTCCTTTCCTCCATGAAGCACATTATCTTTTGAGTATTTTATCTTTTTAAGTCTTGCATTTCACTAGCAGGAACACTCCCTCTCAGCCAGCTGTTGTGGTGACGTCACTGCTCCTCATCTCTTAACTCCCCCTTTGTCTAACCCATTACACATTGTTTCTCTAATAATTAATAGAGATAACAGGCATTCCAGGAAGAAGGGAAAGCAATGTGCCAAGACAGCTGCTATGTAATTACGGGCAAAAGGATTCCTTTCACATTTTTCTTCTTCACCAACACCTTCACTGTGACTTGTGGGAAATAACTTAAATGTCAGAAGGGAAGAGGAGGTAAGAAAGATTCACTGAAAGCAATTTTGGTTAAAGAGATAACTGTGTAGAGAGGTACGGGAGAATTTTAATAATGTGAATATGTAGTGGCAAAGAATAAAGTGTATACTATTTTAATATTCTCTTCATAAAAGTGAGATTCATAAAATTTTTTTGTAAAATAATATAGAATTTGTAGTATTGAATACCATGATATGCAAAAATACAACCCATTGTCTTTGTTAAAATAATTATCTGGATTAGTTTTTTTTATAGCTCACTTTTTAAAGGAAAGAGACAACACGAAAACAATCTTATAACAGATATTTATTTAGAGATGAAGACTTTAAATTAAGTGTCTTCAGCTTATTTCCTATGTACATATCTACACAGTAAAATTACATAGATTAGGCTTCTCATCAGTGACACTATTGACAGAGCCAGGTATTCTGTTTTGGGAGTGGGGGTGGTAGCTGTCCTATCTTAGTGGAGGATATTTAGTAATATCTCTGGCCTCTATTTACTAGATGCCAGTTTCTCTCACCTCTCTCAGTTGTAACAACCAAAATGTCTCTGGACATTGAAATTGCCTCTGGGGGCAAAATCACTCCAGTTGAGAACAATACCAAGCAGGGTCTCTGGAAACAGACAATTTTGACCTCAACTCCTGACTCTGTAATTACTAGGTATATAACACTGGCCAGCTGTCTTAAACTCTCTGTGATCCAGTTTCCATATGTGTAAAATAAGTATAAATACTAGTATCTAATTCTCAGAGTTATAGTCGGCATTAAATGTGTTAATATGTGTAAAGGCTTTGACTTATTCGGTACCGCTTAGATTAGCGTGGAGTAGGAGCTCATATCCCGATGTCACACTGCTTGCCATGTACCATAGACAATATTACTTAGGGCTGTGTGACCATACCAAGTTTCTCATCCTTTTACTGTCTATTTTCTCATTTATAAAATGGGAGTAATAACAATATCTATACCTCACTAGGTTGCTGGGCGGTGTTGAGGTGTTATGTAAATGTAAGGGACAAACACCACAGGACTGCCTAATGAAAGACAGCTTTCAATAAAAGACTTAATAAAACACATTTGGAGGCCATTACTAAAGGCCAGATGTTGGGCTCTTGGATAAGCTTTGTTTGACTTGCCTGATTGATTTATCCTTAGTATCTGGTCCCTGAAGTGTTTGAGTTTATGGCTCCTGCCCAACTCAGTATCATTGAAATCGTGATATCCTAGTTACTGAAGAGAGGGGTATGGATTAATAATTTTTGTAAACTTTTGAATCAATGGAAGTTGTAATAAAAACTTTTCTGCTTATATGTGTACTGAAACAT